CCTATAGCGGGCAATATATGCCACTTACGATTTTTTTATTATTTTTCCTGTGATCAGTGAACACAAATTAACAGGTTAGGAAGAAAAAATAATTTTTTTTTTTTCAAAATTACATGCGCCTGTGGGGAACAAAGGATATTATACCCCTAGCATGTTAATGGTTAATCTAAATGACGTTAGATGGACGAGAAATATTCATAGTGGAAATTCAGTTCATTGCTTTGTTTACTAGATCAACTGATCACAGCTGTATAAATCTGTTTCCAACAAACAAATATATAATTCGTTAACTAAGTATGAATCTATTACTAATCGATATTCCTTAATAAATAATACAAGGTTAGACTGGGTTTAATTTGATTCATAAATGTGGAAATTATTCTCCCTGGCTGGGTAGCTGACGCAACCGTCACCATAATTTCTCGGAAGAATCTGGCCCATCTGTGCCTCAGTTTAATGAATTTAATGTTGCTACACTACTGGTTAGTAGTATTAGTAAATTTTATTCCTGAGTACAATAAATTTATAATATTGCACTAGGGGTTAGTACAATGGGGGCCTCAACTTACGATGCTAATCCGTTCCTAGAGACGGATCGTAAGTCAAAATATCGTAAGTCGAAGCGATTTTTCCCACAAGAAATAAACTGAATTGAATTAATCTGTTCCCCACCCTCCAAAATATTAGCATAAAAATACATTTTATACTGAATACAATGTTTTTTTCTAACTACAATACAGTACCAAAGTTACTCTTACCTTTATGGAGGGCTCTTGATGGCGTATGGAAGATGGTGATGGGGGAGGAGGAGAGGTGTTACTGTTTGGAAGGGGAGTCCCCTTCCATTATCACATCAGGCAGTAAGGTTTTCTCTGGGGTACTCTCTCTCTCTCTCCTACGTTTTGCCTGAATACCACTAGGACCTGGTTGTGGTTCAGTGCTTGTTTGTCTCACTACAAATTTGTCAAGAGACATTTGTTTTTCCCTTCTTTTTAACATTAGTCTGTAATGATGCATCACAGTGTCATTGAATAGGTTAAGGAAACGACCTACCGCAGCGTGATTTGGATGAGTCGTTTCAGCAAAGGTTTGCAATTCTTCTCATGCTGCACATATTTTCTTAATTTTTGAGGAAGAGACATTTTCTACTGGCACATCCTCCCCTGAAGAAATTTCCTCAGCTGCCTCTTCTTGCTGCTCCTTTTGAATGGCTTGGAGTTCTTCGGTGGTCAATTCTTTGTTGTGTTCTTCCACCAACTCCTCCACATCAGCACCATCCAACTCCAAACCCAATTGCCGACCCAGAGAAACAATTTCCTCAATGAGAGGCACTTCAGGTTCATGCTCAAACCCCTCAAAATCTTGTTTTGTAACACATTCAGGCCACAGTTTTCTCCAGCCAGAGATCATGGTTCTTACAGTCACTTCTTGCCAGGCTTTGTTAACAAGTTTTAAAGCACTATAAATGTTAAAATGGTTTTTCCAGAACTCTTTGAGGGCGAGGTTTGTGGCATCCGTCACTTCGACACATCTCCGGAAAAGTGCCCTTTCATGAAGTTTCTTAAAATTGGCAATGATTTTCTGGTCCATAGGCTGAAGTAGAGGAGTGGTATTGGGAGGAAGGAACTTTATTGTAAGAAACTTAAATTCCTCATCCAATGAATCTTCCAAGCCTGGAGGATGGGCAGGAGCATTATCGAGGAGAAGCAGGGCCTTGAGTGGCAAACTGTTCTCCTGCAAATATTTTTTGATGGCAGGGCACACCACCTCATTCACCCACTCCGTAAAAAATTGCTTAGTCACCCATGCCTTAGCATTAGCCTTCCACATCACACACATTTTGTGTTTCTGCACATTATATTTTTTGAAAACCCTTGAATTTTTGGAATGATACACAAGCAAGGGTTTAATTTTCAAATCACCACTTGCATTACCACACAACACAACACAAGAGTAAACCGATCTTTCATAGGCTTGTGCCCAGGCAATGACTTCTCCTTGGTAATGTATGTTTTCTTTGGCAATCTTTTCCAGAATAACTCTGCACAAAATCTTTAAATTTGCCAATGAATCTTTCAGCCGCTGGTTTGTCTGCGCTGGGAGCCTCCCCATGCCTCACAACACTATGAATTCCACTTCTTTTTCTAAATTTCTCAAACCATCCACTGTTCGCCTTAAACTCTTTCTCTTCTGCATCACTCGTTCCAGGGGTTTTCTTTAAAAGGTCTTCATTGCAATTTTGGGTTTGTGCAGGAGTCTAAACTTTGCAATGATTGTCTACCCGCTAGGTTGGATTTGGTTTTGTCAGCTGTTCTGGTTCCTTCAGGGAACCTCCGGGGACTTTGCAGAACCTTCAGGTTTGGTCTCTGGGGGCTTTGCTTCGGCTGCTGCATTGCCAGCTTCCTCTTTGGGTTTTTCGGGGTTCAGTGCTTTGGCACTCACCCGAGCCCATGCTCGATGTGTTCATGGATGCGTTGCTTCTGAGCTGGGGCTTTGTGACCAGTGCTCATCAGGCCGGCCAGAGACGGTGGGGTCTGTCCTTCCGTCAGGCTCACAGCATGGTGCGGGAGTTTGCAGCGGTGTAGATGTCGCTTCGGAGGGTGCGGGTAGCTCGTGGATCAACAGTCCGGCTCCATTCGGACTGCTCCCTAGTGGTTCATTGCTCGAACTGAGAGGGTTCGATGTGGTCCCTGGCTCTTTGGGGCTGGTCACTTCAGGTGACTCGTCTGCTGCGTCCTCGGGGTTTGGCTCTCCTGGCCATTCACGTTCGCGGGGTGTCCAATGTCCTGGCAGACAGCCTATCTTGATTCATTTCCCTGTCCACGGAATGGACGGTTGACGCCAACTCGTTCAGTTGTCTCTGCCGGAAGTACGGGCTCCCAGAGCTGGACCTCTTCGCTTCAGCGTGGTCGAGGCGTCTCCCGATATATGTGACGCCCTTCCCCGACTGCGAGGTCATCGGGGTCAATGCCTTCAGGCAGGACTGAACGAGGTGGGGTTACCTATACCTCTTTTTCCCCAGTTCTGCTGTTGCTCCAGGTCCTAGCTTGCTTGGAGACTTACCAAGGGAGAGTTGTCCTTCTGGCCCCTTGTTGGCCGGCCCAGTCTTGGTTTCAGATGCTGCTTGCTGCTCGGTGTCCGAACCCGAGGGTTTTCTCGCAGCTCCGCCTCTTTCAGCAGATCGGGCCAGTCCATTACATGGCTGGTTCGATCTTCTCCTCAAGTCTTCGCATCTGGTCTTTCTGACACGGGTCTATCACCACTTGTACGGTGCACAGGTGGCTTCGTTGATGGTGTCCTACCTGCGGGCTTCGTCTCGGCGGCAGTATTAAGTTTCCTGGCAGTCCTTCCGTTATTTCTTATCCCTTTGTAGGTTTACTTCTGTCTGATATGGTTGTATTGCCTTTTCTTTCTTTTGTGGTTGTTCCAGGGGCGTCATCTTATGCCGAATACTGTCACTTCTTATCGTGCAGCACTGATGGAGCCGTTACAGCTTCGCATTGTGCAGTGCTGACGAAGCCGTTACAGCTTATGTTCAATGCTGATGTTACATCTGCAAGCAAGCTGCAAGCTGTCTCATGCATTGTTTTACCTCCAGCCTGCTCATGTGCCGCCTGAGCCATCCTGGTCGTTGGACCGGGTGCTCTCTTTTCTCTCTTCTCCTCAGTTTGTGGTGGCCCCTTTGGGTCTGGATTGTTTGGCGAAAGCTCTTTTCCTGTTGGCACTGGCCTCGGGGGGTCGTGTCGGGAAGCTTCATGCTCTCCTCCGGCGCAGGGGTTTCTACTCTTTTGGTCCTGGTGGTAGATTTGATTGGTTGCAGCCGTTTCCTTCATTTCCGGCGAAAAATGAGACTGCTGCTCTCCGGAGGGGGTCCTTTGGTTATTGATGATTGGTTGGTCAGGCTGGGGATGCATCATGTCTTGTATCTGGTTGCAGCTCTCCACCGTTACCTGCACGCCACGGCTTCGGTGGCCGGGGATGTGCTTTGGGTTGACCCGGTTTCCGTTCTTCCCTGTTCCAGCGTTCGGGTCTTCCAGGTTGTCCCAGGGTTATTCGATCTAGCCAGCCTTCGGTCTGTCCTTGTGCCCATGACGTTTGTAAGTTTGCTGCTCTGGCTGCAGTTTTCAGTAACATGTCTTGGGCTGATATATGGGCGTGGGGTTTTTGGAGGTCGAACAGGGTCCTGGATGCTCGCTACCTTGTCAACGTTCCTGGGCCCAGTCGGACCTGTGTTGCGTTGGGTCGGCAGTGGCAGCCAGTTGTCTTTACTTTGCATTGAGTTGTGAAGGCCGCCCGCCTCCCGGGTAAATCCCTCTTGTTTTTGGCTTTGGGTAAGTAGCTCCGCAGAGCTGATGGGGCTCCCCCCAGAAAACCAGCGTTGAATGTAATGAAACGCCATTTTCTGGGTGAGTCTCAGAAGCTTCCCGGCAATCCTCCTACCCTCCGATCGGCAGTTTTCTTTTCGCGTATTTTGACATCCAGCCTCAGAACTGCAGGATGGATAGCCCTGGGTTTCCCTCTTTCCCCCCTCCCCTCCCCTCCCTGGGGAGGGGAGGGTTGTGCAGACGACAGTGCAGTAACGTGGTGACGTCATGCTTGTTTTTATTTGGGAAGTTCTGTCCACTAGTTCGGCCTTCAATAGCAATATTTTACCAGAATAGGGGTTTCTTTTGGGGTGCCTACCTTTCTGGGTGCCTGACCCGGTCAATGGCAGACATGGAATGCTCCCAACCACACGGGGATTTCTATAGGCCATTGTTCCTTGGGCTTTCTGAGGGAGACAGGTTCTGGCTTGTGGTCCCCAGTAGACCTAGAACTCCATGCATTTGACTGGTGCCAGGGTCTAATACATTCATGTCAGCCCGGATAGCTCCGGGGAGCCTCTGGGTCTCGCCCAGAAAATGGTGTTTCATTATACTCAACGCTGTTTTATTATTATTATTATAAGTCAAAGATTTATTTTATGTACTATGTTGCCATTTTACCTTTTGTTGTATCAGGTAGCAATCAGCAGCTCCATAATCAACCAGAGACTAGATATTGATGTTCACTTCATACCTCCATTCATGTCCTCTCACAAGCTACTTACAGCTAACACTTCCAAGTTTGTGCAGGTAAGGACCTATGTATGGTTCACTCCATGCTCTTTGTTAAGTGAGTGCATTCTTTGCTGAAAATACTAATTGTGTAATTCAGATTTGAGTGCAAGTACTGGACACCATGAAAAACACAGAAGAGATTGCATTTTCTCAAAAAAATTATTCCAATCTTTTAATGTGTGTGTACTGAAGCCTGATTTGCCATTGGTAGGTAACCGTTACAGGCCTGGTGAGTCGAGCAGTGGAACTGTGGGATCCGGCACTGACTCTGGCAGACGTAGAACAGCATTACAAGCTAATACCACTTCATCCTCCAACACAGACCCTGGTGAGACATGCACTCTAGTTTAAACTTTCCTTTATTATCTATAATAATTAAGTGCCTTGTAAAATTTAAGAATATGAATACTGTTGACCCTCAGCCTGGCCAAATTTAGTGTGCGTACATTTAGTAAATCAGTATGTGATTCCCTTTTTAACATCCAAGCTCTGAATGCATGGCAGCAGGCTCACCATGCAAATTGTCCAATCATTGGAATTTGTGTTTAGGTCTTTAGAATTTTATTCTATTTTTCCGATATATAGTTCAATTGAACTCAATGTAAATTACTGGGGTGAAAGGTTTTCAGGAATTTATCCCTTATGCAGATTGTGGATCAACTATAGAATGCTAAGTACAGTGGGGCCTCGACTTACGACGGTAATCCGTTCCCAGAGACGGATCGTAAGTTGAAGCGATTTTTCCCATAAGAAATAAAGGGAATTGAATTAATCCGTTCTCCACCCTCCAAAATATTAACTTACAAATACATTTTATACTGATACAATTTTGTTCTCTAACTTCAATAAAGTACATAAGTTAATCTTACCTTTATGGAGGACTCTTGATGGCATATGGAAGATGGTGATGAGGGGGAGGAGAGTTGTTACTGTTTGGAAGGGGAGTCTCCTTCCATTATAACATCAGGCAGTGAGGACTTTTCTGGGATACACTCTCTGGCATGTTTTGCCTGCACACCATTAGGACCTGCTTGTGGCTCACTGCTTGCTTGTCTTACTAAGAATCTGTCTAAAAACACTTGATTTTCCCTACATTTTAACACTTGTCTGTAGTAAGACATCACATTGTCATTTAAAAGGTCAATGCAACTGCCTGCTTCAGCTTTATCTGGGTGAGTTTTTTTAACAAAATTTTGCAGTTCTTCCCATAATTCACACATTTTCTTAATGAGGAAGGGCTATCCTCTACTGCCTCAACTCACAACTATTTTCTTAGGTTGAACCTTACCACTGACTTTCTGGGACCCATCGCGTGATATATAATAATCAGTTTTATGTTCAAAAAGCAAAAAATCACCACAAAAATGGAATTTCTAATAGGCGTGATCGTCACTAAGCGGGCAGCTCTAGTAAACTGAGGCAGGTCGGCCCACTTGACCGGGAACCACGCGCTCGGTCGACCCAAACGTGTACCAACAAATATCGTTAGTCGATGACACTATCGTAAGTTGAGTCGCATTTTTCGATCAAATTTACATCGTAACTCGAAATTATCGTAAGTCGAGGTGCCACTGTAAGTTCACTTATCCAGAAAAAATGGGAACAACACCTCACTGGATAAGCCAGACATCTAGATAAGCAGAATCTTTAACTGGGAAGTCCAAAAATGAACATACAGTACTGTATTTGTAATTTTCTGGGGGAGTCTCTTCGGCTCCCCCAGAGTCATCCAGGCTGATATGCTAATGTCAGACTTTGACATCAGTCATGTGTATGGAGTTCTGTTGGCCTACCGGAGACCACAAACCAGAACCTGACTGAACAGATCCACAAAATAGAGAATATCCTTGATAACCTAGCAAACCCAGTACCAGATGTTATCTTCCTTGGAGACTTCAATCTACCCAGTTTACAATGGAGAATAGTAAACAATAACATTATAGCAGGAAATCAACCTGGAAATAACCAATCACAGGTCAGAGAACTACTGAGATTCTGTGACATTCTCGCTCAGTGAGCAGATTACAGAACCGACTAGGAACTAGAACACGCTGGACCTCATATTCACGAACAATGATGAGCTAATCAGAGACATTACTGTCTCAGACACTACGTGCTCGAACCACAAGCTCATTGAAGTGCAAACTAACATCAATAACGGTAGTAGGCCCAAGAGAAACAACAAGCGAGAAGGGCTATTCAACAAATTCAATTTTAATAATAAAAGGATATACTGGGAAAAAAATAAACAGGGAATTTACAAACATTCAATGGGAAAATGTTCTAAGTAATAAAAATCCTACACAAGGAATAGAAAAACTGACATCTGAAGCCTGTGAAGTCTGTCTGAAACATGTTCCTTTGAGGAAAGCCAGAAAGAGATCCAACGTAGAAAGAGAATGCAGACAACACTACAAAAGAAGAAAAAAGTTAACGGAAATACTGCAGCAGACACGACTTTCCATACAAAGAAGGAATAATTTAAACAGGGAGATTGAAGAAATCAAACAGAGACTGAAGCATTCATATCAGATTGAAGAAAAGCAACTAGAACAGAAACCAATTCAAGAAATAAAGAAAAACCCAAAATATTTCTTCACATATGCTAAATCAAAAGCAAAAACCACTGCCAGTATTGGACCTATTCATACTAGTGAAGGTTCATATACTGCGGAGGACAAAGAAATTATTGAAATCCCAAAAAAGCAGTATGAGGACATGTTTAGCACCCCGATACACAGCATGAAAGTGGAAGATCCGGACAACTTCTTTATGTGTGATATCCAAACCCCTGTACATATAACTGATATTAATACGAGCGTGACAGATTTTGAAAGATAAATTGACAACATGCCTATGCACTCAGCCCCGGGTCCAGACTCATGGAATTCAATATTTATAAAGAAATGCAAAGTGCCAGTAGCACAGGCACTCAGTATAGTGTGGAGGAAGAGCTTGGACACGGGGGAGATACCAGATGCACTTAAAGCAGCAGACATAGCCCCTCTACACAAGGGAGGTAGCAAAGCATTGGCAAAGAATTATAGACCAGTTGCACTAACGTCCCACATAATAAAAGTATTTGAGAGAGTGATCAGGAGTCAGGTCACTAGTTTCATGGAGACCAATGACCTCCACAACCCAGGCCAACATGGATTTAGAGCTGGAAGATCATGCCTCTCACAGCTACTTGACCATTACGACAAAATCACTGAGGCATTAGAAGAAAAACAGAATGCAGATGTGTATACACGGATTTTGCAAAGGCATTCAATAAATGTGACCATGGAGTGATAGCACACAAAATGAGGCCAATGGGAATAACTGGTAAAGTAGGATGCTGGATACTCGGTTTTCTGTCGAACAGAACACAGAGTAACAGTCAACCATATAAAATAGAGTCCAAGCGCAGTTAAAAGCTCTGTACCTCAATGTACAGTCCTTGCACCACTGCTTTTCCTTATTCTCATATCAGATATAGACTCAAAACAAATACAAGGCACAGCTTTGTATCATCCTTTGCAGATGACACAAAAATCAGCATGAAAATTACCTCTGCTGAAGATATTGAAAAACTACAAGCAGATATTAATAAAGTTTTCGACTGGGCAGCAGAAAATAACATGATGTTTAACAGCGATAAATTCCAGGTACTCAGATATGGTAAAAATGAGAATCTTAAACATAATACAGGGTACAAAACACAATCAAATTTGCCCATAGTAGGAAAGCAACATGTAAAGGATTTGGGAATAATGATGTCTGACGACCTAAATTTTAGGGAGCATAACCAAGCAAATATTGCGGCAGCCAGAAAAATGATAGGATGGATTACGAGAACTTTCAAATCCAGGGATCCCATCACAATGGTTGTACTCTTCAAATCACTTGTGTTGTCCCGTCTTGAGTACTGCTCAGTACTCACTTCCCCATTCAGAGCAGCAGAGATTGCTGAAATAGAGGGAGTACAGAGAACATATACGGGATACATAAACGAGATAAAGCATCTAAATTATTGGGATCGTCTCAAAGCTCTCCAAATGTACTCGCTAGAAAGACGACGGGAGAGATATCAAATAATATACACGTGGAAAATACTGGAGGGCCAGGTCCCAAATCTGCACAGTAAAATAACAACATACTGGAGTGAATGATATGGAAGAAAATGCAGAATAGAACCAGTGAAGAGCAGGGGTGCCATATGCACAACTAGAGAGAACTGTATAAACATCAGCTGTCCACAGTTGTTCAACACCCTCTCAGCGAGCATAAGAAATATTGCCGGTACAACAGTGGACATCTTCAAGAGGAAACTAGATAGTTTCCTCCAAGGAGTGCTGGACCAACAGGGCTGTGGTGGATATGTGAACCCGAGACCACAGGGCCTGTGCTGATCCTGTGGGTTGCGATGTCAATGTTTTTTACTTCACGTCTCACATGTCTGCTTGTGGTGCTTGCTTCCACGTTAGATTCTGCCTGGGCCCTGGCTCTTAGGTTTTCGTTGCCATTTGTCCTTGCTTTTTGCGTAGTTTGCGGTTGGGCAGTTTCTGCAAGCAGCAGCTTTTAGTTCTTGTCCATTGTCGGACTTGTTGGTCCTTCGGCGGTCCCAGGGTTAGGGGGGGGCGCATGTCTGTTTGCTATGGCTTTGATTCTTTCCCAGCTCACCGGGTTCGGGTTCCTGGTAACCTGGTGGAGGTTCCATCTGGTTCCCTGCCAGCCTTGGTTTCAGGCGCTGCTTGCACGGTGGCCGCACCCAGGGGGTTTTCCCCATGGCTCTGCCTCTTTCAGATGCTCGGTCCGGTCCGTTACTTGGCTGGTTCAGTCCTCTCCTTGAGTCTTTCCGTCTGGTAATTTTGACTAGTGTCTCACCATCTGTTGGTGATCAGGTGAGTTCGTTGATGGTGTCCCACCTGTGTGCTTTGTCTCGACGGCAGTATGTGGTTTACTAGCAGTCCTTCCTTTTTCTTTTTGTCACTTCGTAGGTATACTGAGTATTTGTTGAGGTGGTCTTGTCCTCTCTTGTTGAGGTGGTCTTGTCCTCCCTCTCTTGTTGAGGTGGTCTTGTCCTCCCTCTCTTGTTGAGGTGGTCTTGTCCTCTCTCTTGTTGAGGTGGTCTTGTCCTCTCTCTTGTTGAGGTGGTCTTGTCCTCTCTCTTGTTGAGGTGGTCTTGTCCTCTCTCTTGTTGAGGTGGTCTTGTCCTCTCTCTTGTTGAGGTGGTCTTGTCCTCCCTCTCTTGTTGAGTAGATCTTGTCCTCCCTCTCTTGTTGAGGTGGTCTTGTCCTCTCTCTTGTTGAGGTGGTCTTGTCCTCTCTCTTGTTGAGGTGGTCT